TTCAGGATATTCCATCATACTGTACGCAATGTGGATTGTGTTCAGCTCGCGGATCAGCTTGTCCGATTCCTGCATTTACCAGGAAGACTGGAACGTGTAGCTGTGGGCCTGGGGAAACGCCATGCTTGAGGTATCTGCTGCATTTTCGCTTTATTGATTGAAAGTATAAAATTTATTATAATTCCGATGTTTGAGGTGTGGTTTGTGTCGTTCGTGCGGTGAATCTACACAACAGCGTCCAGCCGGTGATACTCCCACTCGGACCCACTTGGCACCTGCTAGAGTTTCGATAGTGAAAGCTCAACAGAATGTCAAGGTAATAGAACTTATCTCATTCAAATTCGATTCGCTACTCACAGTAGGAACTTTTGATGGCTGAGAACCGCGATCGTCAGTGATTCCGAAGATTTCGCAGTGTCAGGAAATCAGAAGAGACTTTCTCCGTTCTGAAATCTTTCAATCAGATTTTCGAAAAATTAGAGGATAGGGCTACAGAAAAGTAGTGACCTCTGACCAGAAGTTTCTGGAAATGAGTCCAATTCATAACAGAATTCTCATTTGCTGCGTAAGAGGCCAGATAACGAATTGGCTAAGAATTTGAAAGTAGAGACCTTCTCCAAAAGTGGTTGTAGCATTCCAAAAGCTTTAGTCGTTGTTGAAGCATCTAGACTCTTACAACTTTTGAGGCTTGCCCAAATTTAGTTGCAGTTGTTGGGCTCAAATAACAACCGCCCTAGCGTCAGCCCCTCATAATGCCATCTTGCCTTCATAAGGTACAGGGTCATTAAATTCAAGGGAATATCTAAGCGCATACCTTTTACTTCAAAAAGAACCACTGCGCATCTACTAGGCAACCAATACATGTTGTGTTGATGACAGTCAAAACTTTGTTGATCCCTTCATGGATTGGAGGTTGTCCGACTTACACTATGTATATCCTTCATATCTGCCTACAAAGTCAAATTCCTGTTTCTAGCAGGTTGTCCATCTTTCATCATTAGCGAGAACGTTGATTCAGGTATCATCCGTTAGTTGTGGAAATTTCCATACCATTCTCCTTGCTGCTGATGGCACCGTATTCTCGTTCGGTTCAAATTGTCACGGTCAACTGGGAACGGGAGATGTGCGGAGTAAGGCAGAGCCACAAATGGTGAGTTTAACGTCACAATTTTGAGCAGCATATTTCTTTCTTCTTGCAAAATTTTTTTCCTTCTTTTCTTTCTTTCTTCAATTTAGTTTACAGTCGAGTGCTTAGGTCGTACTCCCGCAAGATGTGCAAGTAGTACAGGTAGCTGCCGGTGCTAACCACACCGTTTTACGCACCTCTCTCGGAGCTGTTTACACCTTCGGTGCACACAAAATGGGTCAACTGATACGGTATGATTCATATAATATTTCCTTTTTTTGAGTTACATTTTGCAATTGGTTTACTTCTGCTCTCATGTATAATGTTGTTAGCGCTTGCAGTTGTTCGTTATTTATTTTTTATTTACTGATTTATATTATTACTACGGTACAATTTCAATTTCGATTTTGCTTGAAGTCTTTCTTTACGTCTTCTAGACCTCCGGACGACGATAGCTGCTGGCACGCAACCCCTGGACGAGTACCGGGTTTCGGGCCAGGATGCGAATCATTCGCCACCTGGATTGGAGCTGTTGGAGATGCCACTCTGATTCATAGTCATACAGCATTAATACATTCTGAAGATGTTATTGATGCTCAGTTGGTGGCTAGTAAGGTTCGTCCTAATTTCCTCAATTTCCTCAAACAACCCTTTCCTATGTCTGAGAAGGAACTTTTAGGGTCGGATGACTTGACCCGGGAGAAATGACCTTGCGCTTCCTTAGACGTTATAACTTATTTTTGGACACTACATTTAGAGAACGCAGTCTCTCGCCAATATC